AGATGTTGAGCTCCTTACAGAAAAATCGTAATATCAATCTGATAATGCCACTGTGTCTTCCTCATGTTTCCAAATGAGAGCAATGCATTTATGCTGTGCTCTTCTGCAGAAGCCACTGTTCCTACTCAAAGCAACACCTCCATGAACTTCGCACAACAGAACAGTTGAGGCAGAAAAGCTGTCTCTCTGTATTGACTTGCACATGTTGCAATCACTGTTTGTTCCCACATACTATCCGTGCACAAGGAGAGAATTTATTTGGCAAAAGAGAGGAGTTTTTCGGCCATTTGTTTCTCTGTTGCATTCAGACGATGATGTATAACTGCCATGAAGTATACCAAACAGCCCTTCTAGAGACATCCTGTTTGCTAACAATGTTCAAAAAAACCCCACCGCTCTGCAAGGTACAACAGAGACAGCAATGTAAGATTTTTAAAACTTGCATTTCTGCTAGATGCTGAGTTCAGGTTCTTGAATCTTCCACCCAGACAGATGGTGACAGTGAATTAGAGATTCAGCTATGAAAATTCTGTGATTTTCAGTGGGAGTCATGTGGCTAAAGTAATTCAGCTTTGGAAACTAACTGGTCTCCCACCACAGCCAGTATTTGTTGTGTCACAGGTCCAGATGCACATAAATGTGTAAAACATGGCTCCTGCTCAGTTGTTTCTGAAGCTGCAGCCACAACACTGGTAGCTTAAGATTTTGAAGACTTAACAGCCTGAATGACTACCTCATGCATTTGGCAGCAACTCTACTCCTTCACATTTATAGGACACTGAAGAAAACAGGATTGCCAAAATCCAGGCAAGCTCAGAACATATACCAACAGTGGCTTAGATTTATCTTTTTTTATTGCTTTGCCCTATAAATACAGCAACTTTTTCAGGTGACAAAGCATGGTGCAAGGCTGAAGGGGTTAATAAAACCTAGGTCTGCTGGTGTATTACTGAGGTTTTACCTTAGTTTCCCTTCTAGGCAGTTGTCTCTGTTAACACCATACTAGCATCTTCCATAGTCCCATGAGAATGTAAAGCTTCTCTCTACAGAAAGATTAGAAGCTTGCAGCTGTAACAAAGCATAATCCTTTATAAACACCTTTTGCACTGGAAAGAGCCATAGATACTAAATCTTGATCTAACACCATTTTAAAAATCAAGTCCAACTACTTTAACGTTTTAAAGCTGAAAGTTTGGCAATGTACAGGACAGGATGTAAGGATCAGGGCTTACATTGTCCAACAGGTCACATCAGCTGGTAAGGCAGCAGTGAAGCTGGTTTTTTGAGTCTTAACGGTGCAAGAATGACAAGACAAAGGGATTCAACCTTAAAAAAGCCTAATAAATCCTTTAACCTTGAGAAGAGCTGTGGGCCACAGCACCCTGACTGCACAGATCTTGATAGATGGGGTCTGTGGTTTTCCTCAAAGACACCGAGAGAAGAAGTATATTCAAAGCTTGGCAAGAAAAACTGCAAGAGTGTTATTGTGACATGTCAAGGTAACATGGAGTTGAACGCACTTCTCTGGGATCCAAGAGTATGTGTAATGGATATAGCCCAGAATTCGATATGGCAGTTCAGCACTGGTATAGACCATATTAAGAGCTTAAGTGTTGTTTCACCTGTACATGTGCAGTTTAGAAAATGGTGGAGTGGAAAAGAGAAGCAAATGGACAGGGGGTCTACAAAGTAGATTATTTAAAAGACCTTTTAAAATTAAGTTTAAGATGATAAAGGACTTTACTATCATCACCTACTGATATACCAAATTGTGAGATTTATTACTTCAAGCTGTTGTTGACTAAGTTGCATCCAAAGCCCTTTCTCATTTGGCCTTAAAATTGAACAGAACCCCTACTCTTGATCCTATCAGGTTTCTTCTTCATATCCTCTATTACACTTCAACTCTTCAGCTCCAGTAAGCACAGAAAATAATCCACAAGCAGGGACAACTGTTAATCACACAGGACAGCCATCAAAACCTGAAAAACATTTGATAAATCGACACTTGTTTCTTGCTTTGCTGACATGAATCATCACACCATGGCATGCAAATGATGAAAACATGCTGCGTGAGCTCATCATCTCAGAAAACAAACATCACCATTGTCAGAGTTCAGACAAACAGCCCCTCCCCACCCAATCCGCTTTTGTTGTTGTTGTCATCAGTCCTACAGAAGATTACTGTGCTCAAATCTGTGTAGATCTCATTTTCATGAATATAAACTAATGCTCCCAGATGTCATAGGACAACAATTCACCTCATATGTCTCTGCCGGCGTTCTTCAGTCAAAACCTACAACAACCAGGTAAATGCAGAGCAACTACATAGCATTTATGGAAGAACTACAATAAACGTGCTTCATAGCTACTTCATTCACTTCTGCGTGGCCCATGGAGAAAGCATCACCAGACCGTTGGGTGCAGCCTGGGCACAAGGCAGTTGCCAAGAGTGCAGTTCTGGTTCTAGCCCTTCATGGTCCCAACCAACTTTGAACCCCTCACCTTCATCTGCCTTTTCAGAGTCTACCGGGATATGTAGGGGGATGTAAATGAGAGCACAAAATTTGGTGCGTGGCAGGGATGCTTGAAGTTATATTTGGCTTCTACAAATACCAGTCTCTAGCTTTTTCCACTTTTAAGGATACTACTTTGGTATTTTGACACCCATCTTTCAAGAAAGAATTGCCAAAACTATACAGGAAAATAAAAACTTGTCTAGTCATAATTCAAAGAGTAGGGGTAGTTGTCTCACTGCACGACAGGCTCAAAAATTAGATAGGAGTTGGAGGAGGAGACCTGCACAGATACTGAAGAACCACCAAACTGTGAAGTTTCACAAAGCATCTGAAGTACTTCAAAGTCACAGGAAAGGTTCATTTCTCAGAGGCTAAGCTAAATGCAAACAGTCAAGGGGGAGTTACAAAATACTGTGTGTGCTATAAGGCACATTCCCCATCTTAGTTGTTACAGCAAGCAACCCACTAATGCCGATTTTGTAATAACTACCACTTACGAAACCACCTCACAAATAAAAATTATTTATCGTGCTTTTAGGAGTCTTAAATAAAGCTCTGACAGCAAATGCAAGCGTTTATTTCTCTGTCTCCTCTCCATGAGAGGTTCAAGCACTTTAAACTGATGAATAAGTTAAACAGAGATTGATCAGGATCTGTGAATAAATTTAAGCGACCAGGCTTCCTCTGAGGTTCACCTTCCTAGTTGGGAAGGACAAGAGGTTGAACAACCCATGCTTTTATCAGGCTGAACAAAGCCACAACAGTGTTTGATGTGAAACAGGAATATATTTATAGCCATTGAAACAACGATTAGGATGAAAGTTTCCTCCAAAAGTCTTAAAGCTCCAAGTACGCTGGCCAAAGACTACTAAACCACTAATCTGACAGAGAAAGAACGATATTTTGCCATCTTCTCCTCAGAGATTGTCATGATGGAACTTGGAGGGGCGAGGGGAAGAGAGAATATCATTCTGCCTATTTCCTGTATCTGCAAAAAAAGTGGAAAAATCTTCTTGGATCCTTCTCTCAAGGGAGTTGACAACTACAGTTCTTTATGTCACAACACTTAAACCCAGAGAAGTCTGGTATACCTGGTTAAAAACACTCTTGCATACACCATAAGCATACATCTGTGATTCAACAACAGCGTAAATTATTTACATATAACAGGAAGTTATTCCCAGTCTTTTCTTCCTCCATTTATCTTCCTGCTTTTGATCTTCTACAGCTATCTCCTTAATTCCCAATAAAATGATCATTTCTTTTGCTTCTGTTTCCCCCAACTAAGATAAAAAACCTGCCATGAATGCTGAGAAGTTTCTCAAATCTCTAAAGGGAAAATATCTCTGCAGCAGCACTAGGCTACCTGATTGTGCATTTTCAGGAAACAGTACTTCTACAAGTGGGCATATGATCTTAAAACATAGATTATGACAATACAGGCGTTTCTTCACTGTTTTCTCACAACGGTATCCCAGCTCCAGGAGGCTGCATGTACTCTGCTACTGCGTCGTGGTTTAGCCCCAGCCGGCAACTAAGCACCACGCAGCCGCTCACTCACTCCCCCTCCCCCCGTGGGACAGGGGAGAGAATTAGAAAAAAAACCTTGTGGGTTGAGATTAAAAGTTTAATAGGACAGAAAGAGAGAAAGAAACAACAATGATAATACCAACAAAGGAACGTACAAGAACAAGTGATGCCCAATACAGCAATTGCTCACCACCCAGTGATCGACAGCCTGTCCCTGAGCAGCGATTCCCGCCTCCCGGCCAACTCCAGTTTATGTGCTGGGCATGACGTCGTATGGTAGGGAATATCTTTTTGGCCAGTCTGGGTCAGCTGTCCCAGCTGTGCCCCCTCCCAGCTCCCTGTACACCCCCAGGCTCCTTGCTAGCAGGCCAGCACAAGAAGCTGGACTGTCCTTGACTGCTCAGCAACAACCCAAAACATCAGCATATTATCAACAGTTTCTCATCCCAAATCCAAAACACAGTCTCACACTAGCTTCGGTGAAGAAAAACAGCTCTATCCTGGCTGAACCAGGACATACTGAGTACCCAGTAGTTTTTCATTCCTGATGTTCTGGTATCTCAAGAAGGGTTCTTCTAGGAATACCAGAGTGACCATCTTCCTCTTCTTTTTTTTCCTCCCTTTCTACCAATTTAAACTTTCAATTTATAAAGTATCATCACAAAACAAAAATCAGCATGGATGCCCTCTCTTTCCTCCTAAATGCAGGCTGACCAAGATAAAGCTTCCCAAAAAAGCATGCAAACTCTCTGATCTCAAGTCTGTGATAGCGAAGCTCACTTATACTGCTGATGATGATCACAGCATTAACCACAGTATTTCTCTATGGGCCAATTTTGCAAAACTTCTTGTGGTAGGCAGACCTGGAGATTCCTCATCCTTGGTCTGTAGTTCTAAACTAAATCCCACATTACCTTAAATTTCTCAGGTTAAAAATATATCATTACTCACCTTTTTCCCCTCTGTACTATCACCACTGACATAGGACAGTTTTCGACGGACATAGAAGAGCATATCGTCTTGCCGAGGGGCCCATTTCTCCATAAAATACGTTGAAAACATCCAAGTCCAAAACACAATACGGTCATCTTTGAAACACCCTAAGAAGCATAAAAGAAAGGAGAAATCAGTTGTGGAATTAGCATGTCAAATTTGATTGTGCTTAATATGACACCCAAAGTCTTTGCTACACATGATGCAGTCAAGCCCAGTTGTAGCAGAAATACTCTCGTACAGCTCAAAGTAAGTCTACAGTGTACAGCATAGCTGCCATTTGTCACAAACCTACACTGGTCCTTGGCCACCATTGACCAAAACCACCTTCCAGCAACCAACCTGCCCACCTGCACAGCAAACACAGATCAGGGCCCATGACTATACCCTGGCTATGCTGTGCCACGGAGAAGGACAGGACCAGTGCCCTGAGCAAGAATACATCAAAGCAGAACTCAAGGAGTAGTTTCAAAGGAATGTAGTACCAATATATGCTCCAGTTAAGGACATGAAGCCATTAGCTGCCAGCAGGTTTAGTATATGCTCTCAGGAGTATAGCCAATCCTTCAGAAACTAGCAGCTGATACCTTCTGTAAATTATGCCCAGGAACAAGAATGTACCTGAGCAGTGGTGACTATAATTCACTCTCTCTCCAACAAGGAACAAAACCCACCTCTTCCTCAAGGAAACAAGGAGTTTTGAAGTCCTGAATCACAATTAAACAAGAGAAATCAGGGAGAGAAGAGGAAAAATGGGAAAAGGAAGATGCAACAGAGTTTTGTTCAAGGAGACAGACAAATTACATCAGCACCAGCAACAGCATGGCAGCTGGCCTCTCAGGAGGAAAAGGAGGCACAGTAGAGGTGACAGCACATGTTGTGAAACTCTTCAAAGCACTTAACTATAATAAAACAGCCAAAGATGCTGCATCTCTTCTGTGCTGTAATGCTTTCACACTGTTAAAGACCAAAATTTATAACAGACAAGGAGAGAAGTCAATGCTGTGCCTAGTGACAAGGGAGCTAAATTTCTCCACTGCTTCTCAGTCCTACTGGAAGCTCCTTGATGAAGTAATGGCATCCCCTCCCCAAAGACCTACTGAGAGATAACTGCGGCTGTTAGCCACAGTCTAGTTGTTTTAAAACCTGTGAAGAGAGAAACACTGAAAAAAATTATATTGCTGAGAAACAGCAAAAACCTGAAACGGATGATGGATGGTAGTGTTACATACAAGACAGCGAGACAGGTCGGGGGGCGTGAATATACACACGTGCAGTTGACAACCCGGTCTCCAGAACATCTATCCTTTACAGTGGCTTATTTCCCTAAAAGCTATACATTGGCTGCCAGATTTGTACACATCACTCCCCAGCCCTCGGCTACCATTCAATGTTCACGTGTTTCCCTCCCAGCAGTACACTGCATGTATGAAATAGTTTTGTAGAGAAAAGAATCTTGCATGAGACGGAAGTGACATTTATTTACAGCGATACCTGGATTAAGCTTTAGAAGATTTTTCCAGTCAATTGCCAAGAAAGCTGACACATACCATAACAATGAACACAATTTTTCTTAGACAATGGTGGCTAACTTCAGGGCTTCATAAAGCAATCAATCTGTCTTTTAATCCACAAGTGTAACTCAGCACATTTTCCTACTTTGTTGTGTGTGCAATATTTGCAAGCCAAATCTTTTTTCCAATCTTTAATTACTGTGGTGGGCAGGATATTAGACTTTCAAATTTTTTAGCAGACAAATGGGTGATTGAAATCGAAGTCTTAGGTCTTTCCAAATACATCCAAAAATAATATTGAAAACGAAATGAAATTCCACTGAAGGGCTATGCACAGAATACATTAAAGCAGCCCTGCCAAGAAGGACTTGGTGGGGGTACTGGTGGATGAGAAGCTGGACATGAGCCGGCAATGTGCACTCGCAGCCCAGAAGGCCAACTGTGTCCTGGGCTGCATCCAAAGCAGCGTGGCCAGCAGGTTGAGGCAGGTGATTCCACCCCTCTACTCCACTCTGGTGAGACCCCACCTGGAGTCCTGTGTCCAACTCTGGAACCCTCAGCACAGGAAAGACATGGACCTGTTGGAGTGGGTCCAGAGGAAGCCACAAAAATGGTCAGAGGGATGGAACACCTCTCCTGTGAGGACAGGCTGAGAGAGTTGGGGTTGTTCAGCCTGGACAAGAGAAGGCTCCGGGGAGACCTTATTGCAGCCTTCCAGTACTTAAAGGGGGCTTATAAGAAAGATGGGGATGGACTTTTTAGCAGGGCCTGTAGCAACAGGACAAGGGGTAATGGTTTTAAACTGAAAGAGGACAAATTTCGACTAGATAGAAGGAAGAAATTTTTCACAGTGAGGGTGGTGAAGCACTGGCACAGGTTGCCCAGAGAGGTGGTAGATGCCCCATCCCTGGCACCATTCCAGGTCAGGCTGGACAGGGCTCTGAGCAACCTGATCTAGCTGAAGATGTCCCCGATCATTGCAGGGTGTTGGACTAGATGGCCTTTAAAGGTCCTTTCCAACTCAAACTATTCTGTGATTTTATGATCAAGTAGGATGGTATATGAAAATATGTATATAGTTGACTATCTACATAAAAAAAATAATTAAAAGACAGAGAGAACAGAAAAAGGCCAAGGTAGGTAGTTCCCAGTGCAGGTTAATCCCAGGCCACACCGCAATTGCTTTATTTGCATGGCTGCAGTGAAGTAATTTCAATTACTTAAGGCAGCTTAGAAGATAATGTGCAATTGTGAATAAAAACTGCAATGCACTTAAGTACCATCCTGTTTTTCCAGTAGAGGAAGGGGAGTCAAGCACTGGAGAGACCAGATACGGGATGCTGGACATCTGCACCATCTGAAACCCTCCCTTGGGCACAGGTGAACAGGAGTGTATGGCCAACAGCTGTATCTGAGAACCTACCATGTATGAGTAGAGTCAAATGGGTTCAGACTCGCAAAACCAGGCTGAGAAAGGACGGGATTCTTATCAGTCAGTATATTCACAGATAAACACCAAGAAGAGAAAAAGAACTATTACGGTTTAAGGATATACCGCTGACACAAGGACAAATGGCTCTAAACTACCCACCAAACAGATGTAGGCTGGAAATTCAAAGCCAATTCCTAAGCATTCAAGCCAGGAGGTTCAGAAGCAGCACCCTCAGTAGGAATAGTGAAGGCAAACATCCCTACAGCTGTAAAGACAGAGTCAACTTGGTCAAGAAGGTTCATGTGGTACCAGTAACAGCTGAGGACACCACAGCCCAGTCCCGCCTCTATATTTAGCAAAGAGTAAAAAACAGGGCATGCATTCATTGTGATTCATTAATGGTCTCAAAGAAACTTATTAAACCTCATAGGTTTTGAGCACCTGAATTCCCAGCCTTAATTAAATGGGGAGGGGGCAAGAAATGGGGAAAGAGGATTGCCTTGAGTTCATCTGGAGTTCTAGGAAAATCAAAGGAAAAAGAAAAAAAGAATTTACATTCTGTAAGAATTGTCTCTTAAAAAGTTCTAGCATTCAGAGCTACACCACTTTGGTTTTACTTCATAAATGAATAAAAAAAATAACTCTAGCCAAGCCACTCCTAAATTTATGTAAGAAAGTTTTTCTATTGATGGCAAATATTTTTCCCCTTATAAAGCAAAAATCATAAAGTTATCTAAAGCCAGCATCATAAACAAGGGTTAAATGACTTTTAGATTCTGGCAGTACCTGCAAAAATCTGAGAAGCTGTCATATAAGCTGCTTACACCATCAGATATGTTTTACGCAATAAAGAACAGGAGTTAATATGCTCTTCTGAAAAATTTATAGGTGGTTAGAACAGAGCATTAATACATGCAGGAGAACAGCAGACCGGGGTAAGGTACCAGGGCTTTGTGTGTGCTTTTACCCTTGCTGGGGAATGCAGGACAAAGTGATTCAATGTCTTCAACATTAGTCTCAACAGAAAACCAGGGGACAGAAGCGCTGCGGCAGTGAAGCTACTTCAGCACTGAAGCATAATGCAAGGGGGAAAAAAACCCTGAAAACCCTTATAGCAATGTTGGATAGCTGTCAATTCAAAATCCTACCTGCAACAGATTAGATGTAAAGCGTCCTCCAAGCTTCAGGGATACTTGCAGACATTGCTGTAATTAAAACCAGCCTGAGGATGTTCTAACTGTTCCAACTGTGGTGGCTAAAGGACTTCTCTTAAAGCCAAAAAGAGCCAAATCACTGCAACACAGCTGTTTTTATTAAATTTTAGTAGAAGCAGGAAGGATGGGGAAGAGCACACAAAAGAATTAGCCTTTAAAATCTACTATTAGATAGTATTGGAAAGGAGACAAGAAAATTTGTAGTTGTAATCCAGACTTCTTAAAACTTGAGAGGGGGAAAAAATCTCTCCCAAGTTCAAGCCAGAAACTGTCAGATCCAATACGTCTGCTCAAGCTTGCCTTCAACTATTACATCCCCAAAAGCACAGCGCACCCTTACACTTATTTTGGTGGTTCACAGCATGTCACTGGAAGCCTTCCAGCTTTGCTGAGAAGAAACTTGGAAACTGCTTTTAAAACTGTTTTGGGTAATGGTTTTGAAACTGTCAGGCTAACAGCCCAGCAAACAAAGTTACTCTTTTCAATAGACAGAAGAAAGCACAAAGCCTTAATTTCTCAGCCTTTGCCACAGCCGCTTGTTGCGGGGCCTCAGCTGAACTCAAGATGGTAGGGCTCAGAGAGCAGTTCTGTCCCCATTACATCCCACCCACCAAAGAAGTGGACAGACTCAGCTCGCGGTTGGATTGCTATTCACTCAGCGAGGACTCGGATCAAAAACAGAAGCCAATTTTTCGTAGCCTGGATGACTATGAGTTGGCAGCAGCTTTCTACCACATTGGTCCACCGCCGTTTGCACAGCACCCAGAAGATGTGCACGCACACATACACGCTACCATTAAGCTGGAAGGCACTTAATAAAACACTTAAAAGCCCTTGAAGCTTTGACTTCAGTATTTGGGGAGACCTTTTAAAAAGCTAACACAGTTTTGGTTTTGCCTGAGGAGAATTTGAGCCTTCTGCAACATCAGAATTAGATGATATTTG